TTTTTTTTTTGGTGGGTACCAGGAATCAAACTCAAGACCTTGTGCTTGCCAGGCAGACACTTATGCCACTGAGCTATATCCCCGGCCCTTCTGTAATCTCTTTTTAAGTGAGTTATCAAGGCCAGACCATACTAAAGAGAGACATTTAATAAGTTCTGTCTGTCATAGGAACAATAATGTGCATATATTATTTCAAAGTTTTCTATAAGAATGATATATCCCTTATCCCCATTTATTTTAGTTGATGGTTATAATTCAGTGCTGGTATTATTTGTTTTATGTTTTGCTAGAGTTGTTCCAACTTTGCTTAACTATTGGGAGTTCTTTCAGGTTGGCTCCTGTAACCTTTTGACATACCCCATCCTCACTCCTTTTTTGATCTATAATCTGGCACTATGTATTCTAGATTCTGTTTTTCCTGCCTCTACCTTCGAGTCACATTGCCCCACATCCCCCAAGAGAACCTAGTCCTCATAGAAGAAAATGGTACTTAGAATCCAAGAGTGGCTTATGAGTAAGCTCATTGCTGTTGGGGTATCACTGTTTCTAGACCCTCTTAGAAAACAGAATACTAGCTGTATATACTAATCCATGCTATACATATATATGTATATATCCCTTTGTGTATGTATTCAATAAACATGGGTCCTGCTGGTATCTCTGACTCAAGTCTAGCACCACAGCACTCATTCTAGCTTTCCCTTTTGATTATTTGTGACTTAGTTCTGACAAGGAAAATCTTGTTCTGTTATCTGCTATTTATTATCTTTTCAACCCCAGCATACATGTAAGAAGGTTTAAATTTGCCCATCAATTGTTTCTTCCTAGTTCATATTTCTGGTTGTAGACTCATACTCATTTCTCTCTTTGAGGCTTGCATTAATGTTTTACATTTAGAAAGGATTTATCCTTGTTTATGTTACACTGAGACTTTGCCCCCATTAAAAACTGTTTTAAAAGTGATAAAATATATATAATATGAAATTTCCCATTTTAACAATTTTTAAATACATTGGCATTAAGTATATTGCAGTGTTGTATAACCATCCACCATCCATTTTCAGAACTTTTTCATCATTTCAAACAAAAACTCTGCATTAAAAAATAACTCTCGGGCTGGGGATATAGCTCAGTGGCATAAGCGCCTGCCTGGCAAGCGCAAGGTCATGAGTTCGATCCCCAGTACCGCAAAAATAAAACAATAAAATAAAATAAATAAATAAATAAATAACTCTCCATTCCAGTCCTCCCTCTTGCCCCCCATAACTTGTATTTTATTTTCTGTCTCTATGAATTTGCCTATTCTAAGAACCTCATATGAGTTGAGTTATACAATATTTGACCTTTATTGGTTTCACCAGGTATAGTATTTTTAGGGTTCATCTGTTAAATAGCGTATATCTGAATTTCATTCCTTTAAGAGCTGAATAATATTGCCCTATGTGTGTGTATGTGTTTATGCATTCACCTGGATTGTGTTAGTAATTCTGTGTTTTAATTTTTTGAGAAACTGCTAGACTTTTCCGTAGTGGTTGCAGCTTTTTACATTCCCACCAGAAATGCACAAGAGTTCCAGTTTCTCCTCATCCCAGCTGAAACTATTTCCCATTAAAACAAATAAGAGGCCATCTTAATAGGTGAGATGTAGTATCCCATTATGGTTTTGATTCACATTATCCTGTTAGCTAATGATGTTGAGCATCTTTTCATCAGAGGGTTTTGGTTTTGGTTTTTTTATTATTTACTTATTTTTAAAAGCTAGAATGGCAGGCATGGTGTTGCACACCTATAATTGCAGCATTTGGGAGGCTGAGGCAGGAGGATCTCCTCTCTGTGAGTTCGAGGACAACCTGAACTACATAGTGAGACCTTGTCTCACAAAGAAAAAGAAAGAAAAAAAAGAGCTAGAACATTTGCTTGGCCAGTCATTGGAATTCTCAGCATGCATTAGATGCTGCACTAGTTGTCCTCATGGGTTTGGGTGGTGTTCTTTCATGAAATCTCTGCCTGAATCTGTGGCCTACGGTTTTTAGGTGCCTCGTTTGAATAGTCCTGATGATTATTTCATCTTTTAGCCTTGGCTCTCCCAGTATACTTTCCCATATGCTTGATAAGGTGACCACATTTGCCACAGGGCAACTTCTGAAAGTGGTAGCCTTACAGTCGCAGCAGTGGTACATTGTGGGTATTTTGTTACAGTGCTTTACAAATAATAACATTCCCTTCATCATCTTGCTTCAGCATCTGAGACCAAAGATTTTAACTATTTTAACTATGGGTTTTTTGTGCTATGTAGGTTGTGAAAATTCAGACCTTAATCCTTACTAAATTGTGGGCTTATGGTTAGGAATTCTTGTCCAGTTGGGCTGCTGTAATAAAGTGTCATGTACTGTCATGTCCCGATCTGATAAGGGTCCACTTTCTCATAAATGGCACCTTCTGACTGTATCTTTCAGTGGTGAAAGGGCAAACAAACTCACTTAGGTCTCTTTTGTAGGGGCATTGATTCTATCCACAAGGACTCCGTTCAGTATCTCCCAAAGACTCTACTTCTTAATACCATCACTTTGGAGGTTGGGATTTTAACATCTGAATTTTGAGGGGGACACAAACATTTAGATTGTAGCACTAACCATGAGGTAGATATATTTTGTCATCTGTTCAACTCAGAAACCCAGAGCCAAGGGTAAAACATCAGTTATCCCTATTGTCTCTTTTTAGTGAGCTTCTTTAACCCTCCTGGTTCACTCAACCAGGATACTTCTCTTTTGGATCCTCTGATTTTTCAGCCTGACTTCTCTCATGACTGTAAACTTAGTTAAGGAGGTAGGGTAGCAGGTTTTGTCATGTAGCTCCAAGACAGATGCCAGCTTTGGAATGTCACTTGTCCCATTTTGAGTTTCCCACTCTGTAGCTTCAGGGTATCTGGTGGGGAATGGGTAAGCCATGTACTTAGGAAATTATTTCTTTTATGTTGGTCTATCTTTGATGTTCTGATCTAGAGTTTTTCTGGTTGTAAAATTAACAGTGTGATACAGAGAACCTTTTGTTTATCTTCTGTTAAAAGGCAGAGGCAATTGAATTTAAGGAGAAGGTTAACTGCCTGACTGTGTTTCTCATATGGATGACTGTAAATTTTTTTAAACAGATTTTTATGTGTTCTTTTTCTCTGTGGAAGTAAGTTTACAAGAAGTCAGAAGTAACCAAGTTAAGAAAAATCTAGACTAATCAAAGAGCTTGAGAAATGCTCAGATTAATTATATACTGAATAATTCTACTAATGAACACTTACCTCAGTTTGTTTTTATTTCAGCTTTGACTAGATCAGAGTCTAAGAGAGATGGAGGTTTTAAAAATAATTGGAGCTTTGATCATGAAGAAGAAAATGAAAGAGATACAGATAAAGAGTAAGGATTTTTTTTTCCTCAATTGTTTTATAAGAATGGAACTTTTTATTACAAAAACAATATTCTGTAGAAAGATTTTTTTGTTGATGTTAGTGTTTTGGTTCTTTGAGACAGGGTCTCACTGTGTAGTTCAGGCTGGTATTGAACTCAAGGCAATCCTCCTGCCTCAGCCTCCCAAGTGCTGGGATCACAAGTGTGTACCACCATGCTTGGTGTAAAGATGTTTTAAAGTATAATATTCTTATGAAAACATTTGAGCTTGTACACTCCTGTAATCCCAGGATTCTGGGAGGCTGAGACAGGAGGATTGCAAATTCAAGCTCAGCCTGAGCAGTTTTAGATTCTTAACAAGACCGCGTCTCAAAATTAAAAAAAAAAATTTTTTTTTTAAGGAACTAAAGATACAGTTCAGTGCAAAGGCACTGGGTGTAATTTCCAGTACCAGGAGAAAGGTGGACATTTAACTCTTACATGGTAGCATTAACACCATTGACACAGCGGTTCTTTATTGGTAAATAATTTTGCTGTTAGATTTCTTAAGTCTTTTGAAATGTGCAAATATGTACATGTAATACATGTAAACTTGTGGTTAAAAATTGATCCTACAACAGAGTTCAAATTAAGAACTTTTTTACTTAAAAAAAAGGCATCCTGTTCGGGCAGTAGTTTGGAACGCCATCTTTTATTATGTGTAAGTGAACCCCAGATTAAGACTCTTCAATTTTGTATGAAAATTTTAATCTTATATCTTCCCTAGTTGTGACCATACTACTGCTTTGATCTTAGATCGGATTCACATCAGAGAAAGCACCACTTTAAATGATAAATCCAGATATTTACCCAGACAGAAGTTAAGCAAAATTTTCATCACTTTTATTAACTTAATTGGAATGAATACTGTGTAACAACTTTAAATAGTTTTTCAGTAGTATTTATTGCATGTCCTGAGGTATGCTACAAATTCAGCAGCTTTCAGTTTCTTACTGATCTGGTTACTTGCTGATTAGTAAATTTAGAGAGACATTAATATACACACAAAGTTCTACAAAATTATAAATATTTTGTAGAAACTTTACACAAGTCATTCAGAACATAGTGACTGACTATTGTAGGTGCTTCACATCTGTCTGGGCAACAGCTCCATTGTCATTACCACTTTTTTTTTTTTTTTTTCCCCGGTACGGGAATCAAACCCACGACCTTGCACTTGTCAGGCAGGCACTGTGCCGCTGAGCTAAATCCCCAGCCCCTGTCATTACCACTTTATGTACCTTGAAGTTTTATTTGAAGGACAGCTTTGAACTAGCAAGTCTCATTTAAAGTCACTGTTTTATGATCATCTTTCTGTTTTGTTTTGTTTTCTGATTTTTTTTAACTTTTTGTTATAGACATTTAGTATTTTTAGAGTTGTGAAAAAAATAGAATTAAATATGAAGTCCAGCTGAAGAGGAAGTACACTCCTTTCAAACATTTTTACAAAATGTAAGAGAATTTTTTAAATTAATAAGTTTTGGGGTATATATGAAAGTAGTGAAACAGAAATTTTGCATTTTTAAAAAATAAATAGCTAGAATTTTACTATAAAAAGCCTAGCAGAATTGTTTTCAGAAAGGTATGTTTGATTTTGATCATCATGGTTGTATTTAAAAAATTGTTTTTAGAGGCTGGGGATGTAGCTCAGCGGCACAGCGCCTGCCTGGCAAGCGCAAGGTCGTGAGTTCGATTCCTGGTACCGGAGAAAAAAAAGAAACCCAAAAAAATAAAGTAAAACAAAAAATTGTTTTTGTAAGGTGATGTTTTTTATTAGTTGATTTTTTTTTTCTTTAACAGTGTATTTTCTTTTCCTATGCTTTATTTCGTTTCTCTGTTCTGCCTCCTTAAATGTCAAAGACAGAAAGGAAAAATGAGTGATAATATACAAAACCCATAGTTAAAAAAATAAGATTTATTTGTGGCCTATTTTCTCAATCTTGCCTGCCACCTACCTGATTGTTAAAAATTTTATTGGCACACAGCTGCTTGCATAATTTATGGCTACTTTCATACTATATTGGCAAAGGTGAGACTATGTGGAGACCATGTATTACCCCGCAATACCTGAAATACTTTACTATCTGGTCCTTTACTGAAAAAATTTACTGATTGCTTGAATTAGTTGAGCATAGAAGATAAAACTTCTGAATTCAATGTATAGATTGTAATTGTTACTTAAAATTCTTTCCCCTTATTTTCTATGTAGTGGGGCAAATCTGCTCAGTGTAGAAGATGATGAGGATTCTGAAACCTCAAAAGGAAAAAAGGCAAGTGTTGCTTTTAAAATTTTCTTTTAAGTTACATACTAAAAACTCCACTTGAAGAAAGACTTACATTTTTTAATTCATTCCAACTTCCCCACCCGAGAGACAAATAGTATTTCCAGCTACTTTTTTTATCCCTATAGAAATATTTGTTAGTCAATTTTGTGTTACGTTTCTATCATAGTAGGAACAACCTTTTCATCTCTACCAATGAAAATAGTACCATGTAGTCTTCATTTGCACTTTTTAAAATTACAGATGGGGTTGAGCACCTTCTCATCTGTGTACCCCATTTCTGTTTCCTTTTTGATAATTGTCAGTATCCTGTGTCCATTTTTCTATTCGGTATTTACAGTATTATTCATAAGAATTCTTTTTATGTTGTGTGAGATACATCTTGACATCTGAAATTTATGTGTTTTATAATGATAAATGACAATTTAAATAATAGTACGTATTACAGTGGTTTCTTAGGTTTGATACTAGTTGCTAATACAGTCCTGCATTGCTTAATGGCAATAAGCAATAAATTCAGTAAGAATAAATTTTGAGAAATGTGCTTGTATGCAGTTTGCTTGTATGAACATCATAAAGCATACATAAAACTGGATGGTATAGGTCAGTCTCTGGACTTGGCCTCAATGTAGATCAAGAGATGCAGTAAACATGAGATGTATGAGGCTACTGTGGGGTGTAACAGCATACAGTAAACATTTTTTAAAATTCTGTTATGTAACTAGGAGTTCATTCTAAAAACAAGAAAAAAGTATAGTGAATATGTACACCAGTAACATGGTTATGATTATCATTTTTAAACATTACATATTTTACTTAATTGTGTGTGTTAAGCTTTTGTATAACTGGCTACACAGTAAGTTTGTTTACACTAGCAGCACCATGAACACATTATGATGGCTCTTCTGTCACTAGGTGACAGTTTTCATCATTATAATTTTATGGGACCACCATTGTATATGCCATCTGTCATTGAGCAAAACATCAGTATTCAGCACATAGCTATATTTTAACCCAGTTATTTTACTAGGCTTTTTTTTCTTTGTTTATGGTAACGATCGCCTTGGAGAATATATATTTTCTTATGCTATCAAATACATCAGTCCAGCCCACACCGTTGGATTAAACCCAGGGCCTTTATACTGAGGTACATGCCAATGCTCCCCCAAAACCCTCGCATTTAAATTTTGAGACAAGGTCTTTTCAAGTTGCCCAGCTGGACTTACACTTGGAATCCTGAGTTCTGGCATTACAGGTGTGCGCCACCTCTGTCATTTTTATGGCTTTTGCATTTATTGTTTCCTAATGATATTAGTTGAATTACTTACTTGCTTTGTTTTACTAAAAAAAAAAATAATTTTATAGTGTTAATACTAACATGATTACTAATAAAATGATTTAAGAATAGTTTTCCTTATATCCATGTTGTTTTTGGTGGCATCACCAGGCATATCACACTAGGAATGTATATTTAAATTATAATTTTGAGATCACTTGAAATTAACTTAGTTTTTTATTTTAAGAAACTGCTTTTCATTTTGGTTCAATTTGTAATTCTGTAAAATAAATTTACATGGTTCTGGAATGTTTAGTTACTGTCCTGATTCCCTTTACTCCACTTTATCCCTACTGGCAATATGTTTTTAAAATTATATTTTAGCCTTTCATTATTATTATTTTTAATACAGATATATGCCACTTTTTTTTTTTGGACAGGGTCTCACTATATAGTTCAGGCTGGCCTTGAATTCACTGTGTAGCCCAGGCTAGTGTGGAACTCAGAGTAATCCTCCTGACTCAGCCTCCTGGGTACTGAGATTTATACCACCCTTCTTAGAAAAATTATTTCTACTTTGTTTTAAAAATGTAATAGTATACTATGCAGATCCCTCTGTAGAGATCATTATCATTCCTTTTATTCTTGTAGTACCAGTTAGGCCCCTGTTTGTGGATAGACATTCCTAAGACTTTTATATTAGACATAGTGCTTTAATAAAGCTTTGTACTGCCCATATATTGTTGTCCTATCTGTATAGTATTTTGTGAGATAGATTCCTAAAATAGCATTTACAATTTCAGAAGGGAAATTCACATGTAAGTTTGCTAGCTATTGCTAAATTTGTCAGTCATAGGCATTAACATGTGACATTCCTATTAGCAATATGTAAGAGTTCTTGTTTCCTTTTAACCTTGTATGTGGTCAGTCTTCTGCCAGTTTGACATAATGTCCTCTTTACATACTTCCTGTACTTAACAATTTAATAGTACTTAATTTTTTTTTTTCTTTTTTTTAAAGGACTTTTTAATTTGCTTTTTTCAGGGATGAGAATGTAGCTCAGTGATAGAGTGATTGCCTAGCATGTGTAAGGCCCTGGGTATGAGTTCTAGCACCATGAAAAATAAAATAATGTTTCTCAGAAAATTTACTTTTTCCCCCTTATTTCTGTATTTTCTTCCTCTGCAATATGTTTTGTCATAATTAAGGATTTTTTTTTTTTAGCTAAAGATTGAAGAATTTACTCTATTAGAGAGCTTTTCTCTCAATTCTGTGAAATTTCCCCTTTCTCCCTCCATCTCTGTCTTCTTTGCAGACAGGAGGCTGAACCCAGGGCCTTGCACTTGCTACGGTAGTGCTGTGCCACAGATGTACATCCCTGGCCCTTTCTAAATTTAATTTTTAGATAGGGTCTTACTAAGTCACCCAGGCTGGCTGTGAACTCGTGATCCTCTTGCCTCAGTCTGTTGAGTAGCTGGGATCACAGTTGTGTACCCCTCCCAGTAAATTGACAAGGCCAGTTCACATAGTTAAACCAGTCTTTTATATATAAAAGTGTGTTTTTCATTTCAGTAGTAATCATTTAATTTCAAAATTTTAGTACAGAAAAATATGACTTTGGTTTTAAGCTGTTATCTGGTCATGATAGGGCACAACAGATTTTAATTTCTGTCAGTACATGCAAATTTTCATCACTTTTGCCTTTTCTGTTTTGCAGCATAACTGAATTACTTTAGCCCAAAATACCTATTTTTGTTGTTTCCTTTCTTTGAGACAGAGTATCGGTATATAATTTAGGCTGGCCTTGAATTCATTATGTAGCCCAGGCAGGTCTGGTTCACAGTCTTACAATACCCTTAGTTGTTCCATAGAATAATTTTTGCCTTAAGGCTTCTGTAGTTTCACTGTGTCACTTTATATAAAAGATATAAAAAATTTGTGGCTTTTGTTGTGAAAAAAAATTGGCTATTATGTGAATGTTGACCTTTTCTACATTTAGTCTGTATTTTATGCTTTAAAAAACGGGATGGGGGGATAAAGGTACACACACTCAAAATCATCATTCATAATCTGCTGTTTAATCTATCCATTCTTTATTTTTTAAATGACAATGACATTTATCATTTGTAGACCTTTTCTGTTGATTGTTTTTCAAAATTTTGTGGGTTTTTTCATATAGCATCTAGCACTTTTCTTTTGGCAGTTTCTACTTTATTTTTAGAATTTAAATGTTTTAACATACATTTTAATGCTTTTAGTAATTTGATATCTTTTAGATTTTCTTATCTGAAATTCATATTTGCTAAACTTCCTAAATATTCATTCTTAAATTTATTATGTGATACATGATAATTTTGAGTGCAAGATAGTACATTGATAATTGTACACATTTAGCAGTCCCAGTGAAATATTCATGCAGCAAATGTATATTGAACAGAGTGTTCTAGATGCTAGCAAAAGACAGGTTTCTTTTCCTGTGGAATTTAAATTCTAGTAATTGGCTGTTCTCATTAGTTACTGAATGATTTAGGTTAAATTTAGGAACTGGCAAACTAAAGCTCATGACCCAGATATATGGGTTTTATATTTTTTAAATGTTTGGGAAAAGAATCAGAAGAGTACCTATATCATAAATTAACATTATATAAAATTCACATTTGTATCCATAAATGAAAATTTGCTGGAGTAGCCATACTCCTTCACGTATTATCTGTGGATGCTTTTGTCCTGCAACAACAGATGAGAATATTTGGACAATTGTAGATAGAGCAGAGACTGTATAACTAAAAAAACCTAAAATATTTACTATCTGGCTTGTTAAAGAAAAAGTTTGTCAGTCTCAGTGCTGCCATTTATATTGTATAAATGAGTTCTTCACATTGTGATAGGAAGACATAAAGCCTTTTTAGGTGGCTAGCATATGAGTTAATCATACAATATCACATTCTAAGCCTAATAACTGTCCACTTTATAGGATTGTTGTGAGATTTATGAGAGACTGTGTAGCTCACATAATGCAAAGCACCAGCAGTCTTCCATAACAGCTGCATTTTGTTAGCATTATTAAATGCAGTTACTGAATCTTTGCACATTAGTTTTCCTTTGCAAATAGTGATATATTTATAGTTGCAAAATTGACACCAGTGAAGCCCATGTTTATAGTTAGCTTTCTAGAAGATTGTTTTATACTTAGCCATCTGTTCTCAGTAGTTCTCCTGATGCTGTGCTTATCTGGAAAGCTATTTTAGGCTGGGAAGGAAGGGCAGATAAATTCCAGGTAGAATATATCATCACAATTTTTACAATACTCTAATAAGGAGCCATAAGTGGCTCCACTTTTTATTTATTTTATACATTATTTTTCCCTAATAATTGGATGTAGGTTAGCAAATTAAGAGCACAGAATTATGGAAAATAAAAACTGTTAGAAAAGTAGATGTACCAGATTGTCTTAACAGTTTTATGCTGTGCATGATTTTTGTTGTTGGGGTTTTTGTGTTTTTTGTGTGCGGTCCTGGGGATTGAACTCGGCCTTATGCGTCCTAGGCAAGCACTCTTACCACTGAGCTACATCCCTAACCCTTGTTTTGTTTTTGAGACAAGGTCTTGCTTTGTAATTCAGGTGGCCTTGAACTCACTGTGTAGCCCAAGCTGGTCTTAAACTCACAATGTTCCCCAACCTCAGCCTCCCTGGGATTTTATGTGTGCCACCACACTTGGTTTATGTTGTGTTTTAATTCAGCAGTGATCTCTGAATTTTCTGGCAGCTGGAGTTATGCCTTACAATTTTAAAGTTGTGTGATAAAATCTTTACAAATTGATACTCTGTGATTCTATAGAATGATCATAGTCCCAGCTACATTCTAAATGTAACAGATGGTAGGAAACCTGACAAAGCTGGAGTTACTAGTTGTTTATTGCTGATTAAAGTTATAAAGCATATAAGCAACCTAGCCAAAAGCAAAATTGGGAATTTAACAAATTTTCCTTAAATACAGTAGATTCTCCTGCTTTGATTATAATGTCTGGGGAGGGATGTATGCCATGCCATGCTATGCCTCTGCTCTGCCCATGCCACATGCAGTTCCTGGCGATCCTAAACCCAGTGTCTGTAAAGGAACTAAAGCAGACTTTAAAATAAAAGCAGATGATTTATTTGAAGGTGGGGGAAAGGGGAAGAGAGAGACAGACAGCTACACAGCTACTGTGGACAAGTAGGGAGCATTGGAGAGCAAATACTCCAGGATTTCTTGTCTGTAGCTCCTTTTCTTCTCCCTGTGTACACTCCATGGCTGTTTTGGGGCCTCCCTTTGGGTTTCTTTAGGTCATAAAACCTTTCCTGTTGTTTGGTGGAGACTAGGATTATGGGTGAGGGGGTTAGGGACAGGTAGTTTATTTAGGTTTCAAGATTAAGTAAAGGGGTTTATGTTAGTGCTGCTTGGGACCTTCCTGAGCGTAGTTTCTTTACCTTTGTCTTTCTGATTCCTGAGTCTAACTACTTTTGTCTTTCTAATTGCTTGAGCCTAATCTTCAGGGGCAGAAGCTGCCTCCAGCTGCCCGAGTAAGTCTCTCCATTAGCTTCTAACAAAGCTCAAGGAGGCTTTGTGGTGGTGGGGAGCTGTCCCTACTTGATGATGGGTTTTGGATTGACTGTCGCTGTGCCCATATGCTTTCTCAGAAAGAAATTTTGAAGCCAGATGTGGTAGCACATCCCCATAATCCCAGCATTTTGCGAAGATAAGGTAGGAGAATCACAAATTCAAGCCCAACCTGGGCAATTTACTGATTTAGAGAGATACTGCCTCAAAATAAAAATAAAAAGGGCTGAGTTCAATCCTGAGTCCCCCTCCCCAATGGAAAGATCAGCTGGAGGTGATTCCTTAATGAGAAACATGGCTGAATGCCTATATATCAGGGTAATCTTGACCTAATTCTTAAGAGGAAGGATTAATTTCCACATTAATGTAAAGAAATTTTTAGCATAGTTCCATTTTCTTGATGTTCTATCTCCTGTTGATTTCAGTTTTTACTGAGATAAAAAGTTTTTACTATTTGATATTGCCTCTTATTACAAATGAACATTTGTATTTCTACAAACAACACTATGAAATTTCCTCTTTTGCGAAGTGGTATGGGAAAGCAAAAGCAGTATGGGAAATCTTTGTTCTAGTTCAGTTCACAAATTCCTTTGCTTTTTTTTTTTTTTTAAAGACAGGGTCTTACTATGCAGTTCAGGCTGGCCTTGACCACAGCAGTCCTGAATACAGAAATTACAGGCCACCATGCCTAGCCTTATTTTGCTTTTTAAGCTTAATGATTTTTAAAACATAGGAATAAAGTTGTTACAAAGTTTACATAACATATGGGAGAGAGATTTTTCTGAGGAAAAAGAACCAATGTGGGAAATTTGAGTGTTTTCTATCACTCAGTAAGGTCAAGTAATTGACCTTGTGTTTTTAGGTCTAGCTGCTAGGGAGCTACTAATGAATAAAATACGGAGATTAGCCTAGCATGGTGGCACATACCTATAATCACAGCACTTAGGAAGCTGAGGCAAGAAGACTGAGTTTGAGGTCAGCCCCAGACCTGCTGGGGCAGAGCAGTTTGTTTTAATTCATCCAGATAATTCTGGTGTAATATAAAATTTGAGCACTGTTACTTTAATCCACCTGAGAATTCAGATTATTAGAAAGAAGCTGGATTCCCATCTGTGAGGGCTGACTAGTCCTAATTTATATTTGTAGGCTACAGTCTTCATTCATATTTTGAGGCATTTATGAGTCCCTCTGTATCTGATGGATTTAAAACTTCGATATTTATCTCCCTAGCTATGTGAATATGTTGGATGTTCACTTCCACTTCTGTGGAACTCCAGCCTTTATCTCCCTAGTTTTGCAAATGTGTGGGAAATTTATTTTATTTTAGCCTCAGGTATGTTGTCTGGGATCAGCAGGTGCTTTACAGGAAAATAGCCTCCAATCTTGGTTTAGCTCTCCAGATTTCGTGTCCCTGAAGTGGGGGGGGAACCTATGGCACACGTGCTATAGCAGTCACTTTGTATCATTGAAAGTTCTAAAAAGTTCGCTTACCATTACTGGATTAGGAAGTAATGGAATGTCTTGAGGAAGAGACAGTAAGAAGCAGTGTGTCAAAAGTAGGTATTTTGGATTATAGAATGTAAATAATGTCAGAAAATAGGAACAGTGCTGGCTCACTGAATGCTTTCCTCAGAAGGACTTTTTGTGGAGAGATACTTTTTGAGATACTTTGGGGTTTCTATAGAAATAATTAGGGGAAAGTGTCAAATTACTACCTTAGGAATATAGTTTCTTATGAAAGAATAAAAAATAAAATTAAAAACTTGTCTCAAAAATGAAATTAAAATAAAATCTGAAAGGCACAATACATTTGTGAAAGGGAAGAAACTTCAAAATGAAAGAACTGGGATGGGGGAAAGGAGGAAAAAAAAGGGGAGGAAAATATATATATATGCACACATATATATGCACAAGGTAGCTAACATAATTGTACTACTAATTGCTATTGGTTTATTGAACAGTTAATGATTGTTTGATCAGTTTTGCATGCCTGTGTCTGGTAACCTGAACAACTACTTTGAAAATAACAATATGCAATATAACAGCCATTGTTAATTTCCTTTCATCTTGTTTTGAAATTCTGCATCATTTTTATTTTCTTATTTTTTATTCTCTTTAAAATAAAAAATAAATGAAATTAATGCTGGCATGAAGGCCATCCCTATAATCACAGCACTCTGAGAGGCAACAGATCAAATGTATAACACCGGGGAGACTATCTCAAAAAAAAAGTGCCTGGTACAGTGGCACTTGCCTGTACACTAAGCTACATGGGAGGCTGGGGCAGGAGCATCGCTTGAGCTTAGGAGTTTAGTGCCTACCTGGGCAGCATACTGAGACCCTAACATAGTGAAACAACAAAAAAGAAATTAGAAGGGGCTGGGGATTTAGCTCAGCGGCAAAAGCGCCTGCCTAGCAAGCGCAAGGTTGTGAGTTCGATTCCTGGTACCGGAAGAAAAACAAAAACAAACAAACAAAGAAATTAGAGTGATTTAAGTGTCAGTTTTGGAAAATTGTCACTAAGAACTGAGGATTTTTGCCAGAGCCTGAAAGCAGCTTTTAAGTGTCCTGTGCAATGAATGTAACTAAGGTAGGTTTCTTTGTTAAGGGACTCCCAAGGGGAATGGGGATCTCCCCCAGGTGATTGTTACTAATATGTTTACATTAACATGTGCACCTGTGAAGGTATTGCAACCATATCTCAGTTTCTGTTTCTATAAAAATTTCAATATAAAGCAAAAATCCTATGGAAAGTCACTTGTTACTGAAATAATAACAGTCATATTTTGCAGTACTGTCCTCCTGTAAGTAGCACCAAGGCCTTCTAAGCAGAAGGAAGGCTTGTTTTTCACTTTGTGGAGAAAGCTATCCTTTGCTACCCGCATTTTTGCAAATATTTTCAGAAACATTTATACGAAAAGAAAATAATATATTCCCATGTTCTTTCAAATTTGCATTGTCTTTGGAAAATAATCATCACAACTGAATTACTCTCATGTCCATTCCACAGTTGTTGCCTTCCCCCTCCACCCTAGCCAGCTATATATTTTTACTCATTTTTCTAGTTTCAAGTAGTTGTTGATGTATTGTGGTATTAATTGACTCTTTAATATTTATGGATCTTTTTTACAGTTAAATCGTCCATCTGAAATTGTTGCTACTAGTTCTGGTGATTTCATCTTGAAGACATATGTGGGACGAAACAAGAGTGAAAGTTTTAAAACTTTGAAAGGCAACCCAATTGGACTTAACATGTTGAGCAACAATAAGAAATTGAGGTATAGGTGCATCACCACACTTGCCTACAGAAAAGATGAAGTGTTTGGCATGAAATAACGATCTTTGAGGCCAGTAGGCCGACTCTATAATTTTTCTTTTAAATTTGTCAGTAGGTGCAGGGTTAGGATGGTCTCGGTGTATGGATTCTTTGCCTTGAATCTGGATAGTAGGGTTGGTTGCACTGGTTTTTAGATTTTGAATAAAACCTCACAAGAAACATTTCAGTAGGCTGGCATCTCATGCATTTGTTTTCATATGAACAGTAGAATCTCAGTCATAATATTAGAAATGGAAGGGACCATGAGTTAGAATATTCATCTCATTTAGAGGATACTATAAATTTAGCACCATGAGTTAGAATATTCATCTCATTTAGAGGATACTATAAATTTAAGATTATCTTAACAAGGATCTTTCTTCTTTTTTTTCTTAAAGATTTCTTGTTCCTCTTGTCTTCCAGATATAACCCAGGTTTCTTAGTGGTTATCACAGTGAACCACTGCTACTTAATATTTGGCTATCAGGAGCAACCCATATAGGGATAAAAATTAATTGTTTTATTTCTATTCTGTCAATTTATAGATAATGGAGGCTCATGAAGGCAGATTTTCAAATTAGTAGCAGAATCAGACTTAGAATTTAGGAATCCTAATTTCAGTTCTAGTGTTCTGTTATTTTTTTTTCCTTGAACTGGACTGGAAATATTTGAAAGAATTAGGGAAATAGAAGATTCCTAGTAGACAGTTTTACATGGCTAATTTTTTTTTAAGGGAAAAGATATTTATGTATGAGTTCAGATTTTAAAGGATTTTTTGGGGGGGTCAACATGTATATAATTTTTCCCCATCCAAATTATTCTTTGTTTTCTTAATTTTGCAGTGAAAATACCCAAAATGCATCATTATGTTCTGGAACTATAGTTCATGGTAGACGTTTTCATCATGCTCATGTACAAATACCAGTAGTAAAAACGGCAGCCCAAAGGTAAGGATTGGAATTCTCTTTGTTTAGTATGTACGTTCCACCCTCCGTAAAAGGAGTGTTCTGTTGTAAAACAAACCAAAAAAAAGTTTTTTTCTCCTTTGTTAAACTTTACTATTTTCATTGAGATATATATATATTTCTCTCAGATATATATCTCTGAAATAATTTTATGACCTGAAAGTTTTTATACTGTATCCTACCTTTGAAATAGTTATATTCTATAAATAATAAATAATTTTAAAAGAAGCCATTCTATTGTAATACAATCTAAGAAGATATTTAAATTGAGCTAATTTATAATTTGAACTTTTAAGTGTTTGCTGAAGATAATCCTTTTAGTTTAAGTTCTGAAAGGTGAAGCTATAGTTACTGCTTACTTGACTTGCTTTCTAAAGTTTATAAAATTTCATAGTATTGAAATCTTGTCAGTTTTAAATATTTCAGAAAATTTTGATTTCAGTAGTTTTATACAGTTAAGAGTTCTTGTTGATCTTGAAAGTTTTGCTTCAATGTTCAAATAATGAAAGTAATAGTTGGAGAAGTTTGGTATTTTAAATGCTTTGGAGGTTTTTCAGAAACCATTTTTGGAATGTTAATATTCCCTTTCAGTTGACTCAAATCGGTAGGCTCTAGCTGTTAAAGAGTCTTGCGTTGTAGCTTTCAAGAAGTAATAAAAGTTAAAAATTTGTTGTACATTTTAGGTGCTGGTCTTCATTTTTTAAGTGTCAGCCTAGACTACTGTTCATTAAGAAATTGTTTTGTGGTACTGGAAATTGAACCCAGGGAGCACCGAACCCTTTTTGTTTCTTCAATTATTTGAGTTTTTGTTTCGTTTGTTTGTTGTCTCATTTTAGAGACAAGGTTTTGCTGCTGCACTTCAGCTGGCTTTGAACTCACTTTGTAGCCCAGGGGGCCAAACTCACAGTGACCTTTTTGCCTCAGCCTCCCCCTGCCTCAGCATTCTGAGTGCTGGGATTACTGCTTTGCAACCACCAAACCCAGCTATTGGTTTTTATTTTGAGACAAGGTTTTGATAATTTTTCCAGGCTGGCCTGGATCTTGGGCTCCTTCTCCCTCAGGAGAAAATATGTTTTGAACCTTAGTAATTTTTGTCACATTCGATATTTACATAGATTTGCTGTAATATGAAAATCTTAAATCGCTTTTATACTTAAGATTTTTAAACCTTTCGTTTGCTTGTTTGTTCTATCAGAGTTTTTACAGAAGATATTTCAAAATTTAGTTAAAAAGACAAAAAATAAAGGATTACACATACCAAACATTGGCTTGCCCTATTGTGCAAAGTATACAAACAAATGAAGCTGTCTGGCCTACATATGGCACAGAAGAAAAAAGGAGAATAATCAGATGAAGGGAAAAAGAGGAGACACATGCTTGCACATTAATCATAATGACAGAAACTGTTTCTGAGGAGGCATTATCTTCTTGATATTCTGATATTATGACCTAAATTGAAATACTAATTTAAAGTTTATAATCAAGTTGTGATATATTTTATGACCAAAAAAATTAAGTTATAATGCTTTTGAAGTTATCTCTTTGGAATTACTTACATAGTGGCCTATTCTTTGTCCCTTGTTTTTTCATTGGAATATTTAAAAAAATGATTTCAGTCTGGAAATCGGGTTATGTTTTGTTTTATTTTATTAGAGGTCTCAGCACCTACTATAGCTTAATGTATACCATTGCTGATCTTTGTAAATGATTCAGTTCAGTTTATAAGAGCTAGTATTTAGCGGTAAAATACTGTTTCTGAAAAACTATGACAACCTGAATTAATTTGTACTCAAAGAAGCAATCATGAGTGAAAATACTTGACAAGAATGATGAGAAGGAATAAATAAAACAGTAGACTCAAGTAAGGAGGACAGATTCTACTTGTTTTTCTCTTATTTACTGTATATAAGAATAAACATTTCTTATTCCACCTGCAGTATGACCGTCAGTAATAAGATTTTGAATTCAAAGACAAATTATTGAGAAGTTTTTCAGTGTGCGTCCTTCAAAATCAGTGATTTTATGCTACATAACAGGCATAGATGAGAAACAGTATTCCAAGATGGAATATGGTGAAGTGTTCTTGCCCTTGAAGATGAAGTTTAATTACGATAGAAGACAAAAAGACTAACAAATACATGGTCACTGCAGTAGTAGAGAAATACAAAGTTATATGTACTAATACTACTGATCAAGGAAGAAGTTACAATAAAGGAAGTACTGCAGAGGAGCTTTTGAGTGTACCAGGTAGAAGAGAACACTCATGCTGCAGCAGCCACATTTTTAAAGGCATGGAAAGAAAATTCACTTACAGTATTTGTCACTGAGCAAAACTGTTAGACCTCAAGTGAAAGTGCGTGTGAAACACTGGCTTTTATAGCTTCAGAGAAAAGCTCCCTTATGTCTTAATTTGCTATTGAAAGAAATGCCACCAGTTTGATAATTCAAACACACAACATTCTTGGGGTAGCACTATGCAGTGCTGTTCTGAATATATATAGCTTGCTTTTTTAAATGAATCAGACCTGAATGCTAAGTCATTTGTAGTTCTTTAGTAAAGATATGGGGAGCAAATTCTTCACATCTTTTTTGTCTAAAAAGGAATGAGTAAGCCTGGTGTGGTAGCACATGCCTGTCATGCCAGCACTTAGAGGCTGAGGCAGGAAGATCACTGTGAGTTCAAGGCCAGCTTGGGCTACAAGGTGAGTTTAGGGCTATCCTGGACGGACATAGATCCTGTCTAAAAAAAAGACAAACAGTGAAAAGCAGTGAGTGAAGATTGTTAAATACTTAGCTAGTCTTTGGGAGATATTTAACATTCCAGCCTGTTTTTTTACTACTATTCCAGATATTTATTATTCATATTTAAAAGATAGGATGTCCATACACTAATAGTGGTAAAAGAGAATAGCATTAGTATGGAAGTGAAATGTAGGAATTTAAAAAAATATGTGATTCTTACCATCCATACCCCTTAAATCAGACTTAAAGAAACAACATCTTATGAACTTGTTTTATTTATATTTTCAACTGGCAGAGGAGGGGGATATTGAATAAATGTTGGCGAAAACATGAGTAATCCGAGTGAGAAAATAGGCTCCTAGAATATGCCAGATGAACTATTAACAGAAAGCATCATTTTGAAAGAATTTTTAGTTATAAATCAAGATGTAGGTATCAGAATTGATCGTTTTAACCTCCCTTTAAAAAAAAAAAAAAAAAAAAGAGTGCTGAAACAGCACTAATTCAAGGTAAATTATCGTTTCCATTTTGTGTGAAATAGTCCAAGAATTAGGTTGACACTTTTACAAAGACTTACATGATTAATAATGACCTCCCTGTTTTTTGTAAGTTTGTATGTAAGCTCCTATAAGGCAGGATTTTGCAAACTGTTCTGTGCAATGCTGTGACTTACAAATTAGGTATTATATAATAAATTTACTTTTCTGAGGAGTAAGGTGAGAGGGAAAAAGAATTTTTCTTTCTTCCTAATTTCCTTGTTTTACTGGAAAAACCCAATTTATTTCTTTTACCCCTGTTCTGTGTTCTGCTTCTATTTTCTGTACCAGGTGAGTTTAAAAAAGAACAACACAGGAAGACTAAACTCTTCTTACTTTCTGGGCTCAAACTCAACACTAAAGTTCAAAATGGCTAGATTATGTATGTATTAAGTCTAATTTAAGAGTAAGATTTCAAATATGTGTAAATTTAGTGATTCTTTTCCTCATGGTTGAAAAATTCTTAATATATGTATTTTTCTTGAATGTTTATATAAAAATGTTACTGTATTTTCTCCTTAGTTGGTTAAGATTAAATTGTTACTTGTGTGTTCTACATGATAGGAATACAAAAGTAAGTGTGGGATTTGGGAATTTTGTAAAGGGTGCTTTGCTTATTACTGTTAGTTCTGAATATTTAATTCCTGAATATTTAATAATTTCAGGATGTAAACGTTATAGTTCCGCTCTTGAGTAATTAATGTTAATTGTTCTTTTGAATTTCCATATACTGTGCAGAAGTGTGGAACTTTTATACATTGGACTTCTGATAAGACACCATGATTTTAAGTCTCAGGCTTTCCTTGTTTCCCAAGTAAATATACACTGTTTATCCCAGGATTTTTGTGTTAAAGTTTCGGCTTTAAAATTTTTTTTTTTAATCAACAGCAAATAATCATACCTGACAATAGGATTAGAATCACTGTTTTATAACATTTAGAAAATGTCATTGTTACTTGAAGACAATTTACAAAACTACCTTAAAATGACATACATTATATCTTCAGTGCTTAATAGTGAAAGGCCTTGAAAGAATTTCTCATATATTTCTATATCCATCTTTTTCCTGTCATATAAAATTGCTTACATTATTTTGTGTTGAACAATTTAGAAAAGACTTCAAACATAGAATATAATATATACAGAAATTATTTAAAACAAATTGATTACATTATCATTTTGCCTTATTGACTAGAGTTACTACAACTACAATGATATATGAACAGTGAGGTCTTGCCTCTTACTTTTTTTTTCTTTTTCATGTTTTAAGCAATCCGGACCGAAAAGAAAGGTAAGATTAATACTAAAGAAATGAGAGCATGGGTATAGCAGTAAAAGACCAGATTGTTTATATGCTTTGAGAAATACCATTGTATTAGAGTTTGTCATTAGAGATGGTGATGGTGATGATGACTGTATTGCTGGGGATGAAAGTAGGGCCTTGTGCATGGTAGGCAAGCGCTATATCCCAGGGCTGGATCTCCAATCCTTAAAGCTTATTATTTTAATGCAAAGAAACAGTATAACATGATATTTGGCTTACATGAGTGGTGTTTCAGTATGATTTTCAACATATATTTTTCATGATTAATTACTACTTTACTTTAAAAGTAGAGTATTTCCATGCCTTGGTAGTAAAATTGCTTTCTGTTATAAGGATCAAAATCTGTCTTGTATTTCAGTGATAATGCTCCCGTTTTTAATACCTTACTGTAGTAGAGAGGAGAGGAAGAATGGAATTAGAACACCTTAAAGCCAGAGTTAAAACCTTAAATAGCAAATGTTTTCTATTCTGACCAAAAAATTTGCAACAGAATTTTATTATCAGCTTTGTCTTCTGTCTGTATTTGTTCTCTTTGTAAAAACACTGGCAGCCACATAATCTTTTAGGAGAGAGTTGAGTAAGATAAATAACACAGTGAAAGGATTTTAAGAATACACATTTGTTCGAATAGTGAAATGATGATAATTGTTCTAAAGCAAATGTCCCTAAGAGTTCACTGTCCCCAGTAATAAGTATGGGAAATCTGTTGTGCATGTATTTGTTCCATATTTTTATGAGGTTTGACTCTTTTGTGAACCCTGCCTTCCCACCTCCCAGATAGGTTAGGAGCCCTGGCATTAAAGGCAGTACTCCTGGATAATTGGTGTCAAAAGATGAGATATTCTATAATTTTGTTTAATTCTATAATTTCAACCCTGTAATTTTGCTTAAAGATGTAGAAGTAGTACAGAGAAATCTGCAATAGTTTGTATTAAACTTTACTTCATGATCACTAAATTTAAGAGATAGAGATATTAAGGTGAACCTTTCAGCAAAAAGACTTAAAACATATTTTGTAATTCTGAAATACTTCACAAATCTGTGTGGGGTTCTTCTGTTTTTGTTTTTTCTTTTTTGAGATGGTTTTGCTTTGCAGTTCAGGCTAGCCTCAAACTTGCACTGCTCCTCCTGCCTCAGCTTCCCGAGTACTGGGATTACAGATATATGCCACCATGCCTGGCCTGTGTGTTTTAATTGCATGCTTTGTGCAGGTATTATATGTTTAATTTTTGACTTAGCAGTGACTATTTTTTAATAAGGATGCTGAAATACAGTGTATTTAATTGCTAGGAATATACATTAAATAAGTTCATACATTTACTCAAATGAAAGAAACTTGTTTTACCAAAATGAACATATTCATCCTGTACACCATGCTGCAGTAATTAAAATGCAAGTACTGTTACATTAGAATGATAAAAAGATCTTAGATTCCTTCTTTTTTGCAGTGGTTGTGTTTCGTTTTGTTTTGTTTTGTTTTTGAGACAGGGTCTCACTGTGTGGTGGAGGCTTGCCTTGAACTCACTTATGTAGCCCAGGCTGGCCTTGAACTCACAGCGAGTGAGTCAGCCTCCTCCTGCCTCAGCCTCCCAAGTGCTGGGATTACAGGTATACACCACCTTGCCTGGCTCATGTTGTGTTTATACTGATTTTTTCCCACTGCTTTGATGTTTTATGCATATATGTATAGTGGGAGTTTATTAACTGATACGTCCAGTAAATGTTTAAATGCCCATATGTGCCAGGCACTCTTCTAGGAGCAGAGAGAAATCTATTTGTGCTCTTGTAGCTTATACAGTCATTGAAACAGTATTAGACTAGAAGACAGGAGATTGACATTCCAGCACAGCCAGTAAGTAGGCTCATAGCTTGCTTTAAAATGGCAATAGTATTTGCCCACTGTTAAAAGGAGTTGCGTGTGGGATAAGTAATTACTTAAAATTGACTTACTTTAAACATGTGAAAGTTAGAGACATTAATAGTAACAGGTATTGAAATTCTTTCAGTCTTTGTGCTAAGATTATCTGTAAGGACTTTAAAGCTCTTAAAAACTAGATTGAGCTGGGCGTGTTGATGTACAGCTGCAATCCCAGCATTTTGGGAGGCTAAGGCAGGAGGATCGCCATGAGTTTGAGGCTAGCCTGGGCTTCCTAAGTTGAGTTCAAGTGAAGCCTGCACTACATAGTAAGACCCTTCGTCAAAAAAATAAAAAAGGAAAAACTAAATGGAAGCAGCCACTGTCTATCAGTGATCTTACAAATATATCTTAGTGCTTTACTGAGGCTGAATATAGCCCATAGTCCTTTGGGTCCTTACCTAAAGTTATTTTGTGTTTATCAGAGCTCAACTAAGAACATTTGTGTTACCAGGTTTTTTTTTTTTTTTAACCAGCTTTTACTTAGTAAAATTTTGTTCACATAAGCCTTTCCCCCCTCTGTGAATAATACTGTAAACCTCTGAGATAAATGATTTACTCGTAGGACAATGGTTTATCTGATAAAAACTAGGTAGTTGTAAAAGATTAACCTTTCTAGGGTGCTTGTCAGGTGTACTATCTTTGAGGTGTGTTACAAGCTTAAACCCCAACTCGAATAAACGAGCAAATACATTACAATATTAAGCTCCAGAGCCTGCAAACTTTTAAAAAAAAAAAAGGTATTGCCAGTTCTCTTTATTATGGGTGACTTTGATCATTTGAAGGACTCAGATTCTTTTCTTAGAATGGCCAGAGACTGTGAGTGTTAGCATGAACAGCCTAGAATATGTGCTCTGATATTTTGAGCTGTTTTATATTTTATCCTCTCCCTTGATAGTCTATTTTTTATTTTAAAAATTTAAAAACTGACAAAACAACAATGAAGACAAAATCAAAACAATACAGAAACAACAAAAATGATACATGACCTCAAAACAGAATGATAGGAATTTACAATAGTTGCTACATTACATACTGCTATCTTCAACCAAGTTGCTTGGTTCACCAGACGTAAGACTATAAGATTGATCAATCAAAGACAGTAACAAGTAAAAAAACAAAATAAAACAAAAAACCACAACATTGGAAATGATGCAGAGCTTCACCATGCAAGATGGTAGGAGTTCAACAATGGTTCTTACACTGCACATTGCTGTTTTCAAGTCAGTCATTCTGATTACCAAATTCAAGCATGCAGAATTGGTCAAGAAAAAAAGAAAATTTTAAGCATTGACTGTTGCTTTCAATAAACCACAGACATTAGCAGTACCTCTATTCCAGCTATCCTTTATATATACATATAAATTTTGTTTTTCATTTTTAAAAAACCAAAATAAAAACAAATACATAAAACAACATAGAGAGCAATTAAAATGATACAGAATTTCAAAACATGGTGATTATTGGTTGTTATACAATGTTATCTTCAAAGTGGTTGCACGTATAACTAGATACAGGCATGCAAGATTGATCAATTACACATTAACAGTTCCTTTCAATAAACCAACAGATATTAGTAGTACAATTATCCTGCTATCCTGTGTGTGTATATATATGTGTGTGTGTGTGTGTATATATATATGTATATATATATTTTTTCCCTTTTCCTCCTTCCCTTTTCCTCTTCCCTCTTTCATCCCAGTTGCTCCTTCCTATTTGAGCAGTTTCTTTTCCTTTTCACAATATCTATTGTACCTTTCAGATTTTATTTACTTAAAGAGTCTATTGACACATTATAAAACTGAAACGGGATGATTTTTTTAATTTAGAATTTTTTTATTTTTTATTATGAAAATTATGTATATTGTAGAAAATTTTGAAACAGATATGAAGGTGAAAAGAATATGATCAAAATGTTGGAAATACAACAGATGTTTACTTACAGAGTGTGTGTGAAAAGACAAATATATTCTAAAACTTTACAGTTTTTTGGGCTGGAGGTATAGTTCAGCAGCACCATGCCTGCCTGGTAATTGCGAGGCCCTGAGTTCAATTCCCAGTATTCAGTCAGTCAATCAAATTTCACAGTTTTTCAAAAAGTTCTTAGGATATTTCATTGTTAGGATTTTGATGCATTTCTTTTTATCTTATTTTCTATGCACTTTTTAATATATTTAACACTGTGTCATCAATGAAAACACAATTGTGTGTTCTGAATTTTCACACCAACCAGTATGTTCTGAGTAGTTCCATGTATCAAGATGGCTTCTAACAAAAAATTTTAATAACTGCATAATAGCTTATCTTATACACACACACAAACATATAATTTACCTGCCCATTTGTTTATTATTCACTGTTAGATAAAATACGTTAGTGAATAACTTCTTATATAAATCTTTCACTACATCTTTTAGAGTGCATCTCTGAAAAACAATTCTTTGGTTACAAAAACAAATTTCAAATGCTTTCAGTAAGAACTGCTAAATTGTAGAAAGATGGAACTAGTTCTTAATAACTAAATTGCTGCTTTACAGTATATGAAAATAAAATTACATTTATATGATATCTTCTTTCTTGGAATTACAAGAGTCATTAAAATTTTAAAAATGAGAATTGAAGAAGATGATAAACCAGTGGTGGTGAAGCTACGGCATGCATGCCTTGGGAGCTGTTTGTTATCATTGAAAACTCTAAAAGGTTCACCACCATTGTGATACATTATAAGATTAATAATAATTTCACTTGTAATCAATCAAGTATCTATTGAAAAGACAGTCTCATTATAGCACCTGAAATTGAATACCCAGTTATGAAATTAATTACTATATAATCCTTTATAAATACATTTAAAGAACTTAATCTGAGACATATATTATGTTTCTGCTTAGTAAACAGTTGTTGTTTGAGCCATTTTGTTTTTGGTACTGGGAATCGAACTCAGGACCTTGTGCTTGCCTGGCAGGTGCTGTGCTGCTCAGCTATATCCCTGGCCCTATTTGAGCCATTTTTAAAAAATAGGTGAATTTATTTTACTTTTTTTTAAATAGAT